TTTATAGTACAGCATTATAAACAGTGTAATTTAAAGCATACACAGTGGGTACTTTGAATAAAAGCATCAGAAATAAAGGCAACCATTTTGAGTAAGGGGTACATTGTACTCATTTAAAGAAATAAGCATCCCTAAAATACTGTAAAATTTTGTAAGACTGTAAGAGCAGAGGTTGCATTAGGGAGGACATGAAATGAATTCTGACCACAGAGCTAGAGGGACAGTTGGATGTATTTACGTGCACCGCCTTCAGCTCCCGCAGGCTTCCACCTCTGTGCTCCACTAGCCTTTTCAAACCTCCATGATGTATTGAGTGCCACCAGCATCATGTGATGATGCCCTTGTATCATGATAAGAACACTTAATGCAGCTTATTCTCATAAGCAAATATGTGGTTTTAATGTGACACATTTAGCATGTTCCAACAGTGAGAGGAATGGGGCAGATGTAAGAAGGAGAGTGCTACAGCTGTATCTCTCTGCAGCAAGACCTAGGGAGCACAGCGGGGTTTCCAATAACACAGGTTCCTGTTCTGATGGTGTGCCAGGTTTTTAGCCTTCCTCTACATTTTCTCAGCCCCATCTCAGGTTTCTTTCACTAAGAAATCCTTTTGTCTGTGCCAATACTGCTCAGATGTACTGAGATCTACTGAGTAATTTTACCAAGGTCTAATTTTTGAGAGAACTGCTCGGCAGGTGGAAATGTGAGAGCTTCAGTTTCAGCTCTGCCAGGTGTGATGCACTGCTGCCAGGCTGTAACCTCAGCATCATCCCATGGCTGGCCTCGCCAGGAGAACAATGCAGAAGAGATGATCTTCTGCAGGGCCATTGCCTGTTTAGGACTTTAATCATGCTTGATAAGGTCCTGGTAACTACTGTATTTCCTCTTTCTACCCTGCTGTCAGGGTGCTGCGTGGGCTGGCAGCTCCTGGGGTCTGGGAGCTGCAGGGTCCAGTGCAGCAGCTCCCCAGCCAGGAGCAGAGCACTGAGTGCAGCCCCAGCCCTGGAATGAGGCACCACCCTGGGAAAAGGATGGGCTGAGGCTGGGTTGGGACATGGGCCTGCAGCTAGGCCCAGCTCAGCAGGGCCCATAGTCAGGCAGGGCAGGGCTGTGGGGAGGAGACCCACCCTGCTGCAAGGCAACCATTTTGAGTAAGGGCTACATTGTACTCATTTAAAGAAATAAGCATCCCTAAAATACTGACGTCCCCGGGGGGGCTGACGTGGGGTCCTGGGCAGGGTGGGAGAGGCCCTGGGGAAAGCTGAGCAGGGGCAGTCAGGCCTGTCAGTGTCCTCAGAGCCATGACACCTTCACCCCACTCCATTCCCCTTTGAAGCTGCTGTTATACTTCTCACCCCTTCACCTTTCCCACCCCTGCTGTTCACTTGAAGATGGATAGGACTAGCCTCCCCTGATATCTGGATGTGGCCTGGCAGCCACTGTTGGAGAACGGCTTGCAGAGAGCAAGGCCATAGCTCCCTGCAGGAGCTGGTCGGCCATAGCTCCCTGCAGAAGTCGGTCCCAGCCACCTGAGGTAAACAAAGGAAAGAACCCAGGGTACAGTTATGTAAACAAGGATGAAGACCCAAGGCTCAGTTGTACTACCGAGGATTGTTGTGAGAACACAGAGATAAGTTGGGGCGCATTATGACCTTGGGGGTCAGAGGAAAGCAGCCCTGGGAGAGAAGCAGGTTCACAGCAAGAAAGATGTTTATGCATACCAGAGATGCCACAAGGGGCTGGTGTATTATAATGTGACTTTTTAGATGTACCCAATGGCTGAGATATTATAATGTAGTTTCTTTAATGTATCCAATAGAGTTACAAGTAGTGTATTGTAGACTGCTTATATAAGGTGTGATTTTTTTTCAATAAAGTTGAAGCTTGCTCTGTCATTCACATTGAATCGGCTGCTTGCTTCCTCCACCCACCGCAAGCCACCACTACCATGTTGCCGGCTCTCCTCCCTACCTGCTTTTTTTCCCAGGTACCCAGACTCATACCATGAGCATCAGGCATGACATGGCTGGGACATTTCACAGAGGAAATGGTGTAGAGCTTTCCATCATCTCATGCTTTGCTGCTGTTTGAGAGAGGCAGTTCAAGAAGACCCCTTCTAAGAAAGAATTATTCTTAAATGTTGAGATATTAATCCTCCAATCCTCAAAACTGAGAGATCAAAACTGAACCTAGCTTGATACAAAGGTATAATAATTTTACATATGTCTTTCAAAAGCACTTCTATTGTATTTTTAAAGGGAAATCAGCTAGACTCGTATTTAACAACAAATTCCAATTACTTTCTCTTCAGTTAACTATATATTGTATTACATACAGTAAGTATTCTAGGTGAGGATATTATATAATACTGCTATTGAATTTGATGTATCATATTTTACCCTCAAAGTACTTGTTTCACAGGTCAGTATGTATATACTTTCGAGAGTCTTTTATACATAGATTTTGAAAATTATGTTATTGCTCATTGAAAATATGCCATTCTACTGCCTTCTTCCTCTTACAATATACTAAATAATACCCAAATAAAATCTTAGCTGGTTAAATGATTAACAAAACAGGGATATAAAATTACATGGAAGTGGTGCAAACATTTTTCCTCCAACACGTAAAATTAAATAGAAAATAAACATGTAAGTTGATATTATTCAGAGATGCATTACTACTAATATTTTTACAAAGGCTGTCAGGCCATCCTTCTAATGCTTTAATAAATCAGGTGATTTATTTACTGATCCATCTGTAAAATCTTCAGTTATGATAAGCTTCCTGGATTATCAAATGCTTCCTGGGTAGGTCAGCTATTACAGGTATGTTTGTGATGGACATATTTAATAAAGATAACTGGTTCAGTTCAGATATACATTCTGATTCTACACTTCAAAAACCTAAAGGAGATTTTTGCAGCCACACAGTATTCCAGATGCAGTCATACTCTACAGAATAGCCTACTTCTCATTCTCTACTGAAAATATTCTGCATTTAGTTGACTGAATAGTACTAGTGGCTCATAATGACCATGATCAGTAATTACAGTTGGGCATCTGTCACTTCCCCTGGATGAATCCCCCTATTATACCAGAAAATCTTATTAATCCCTAAGGATATGGCCTTGTATTTTGTATTAAATTTAACTTTTCTTCTATTACCCCAGGCTGCTAGGTCACCTGTTTTCTAGGAATTAAATTCTTGATATGGCTCATTGTGAGCAAGGCCTCTCAGTTTTTTCCATCACCAAGTTTAACTGGTTTTGTGCCATTGCCTTTATTAATTAAGATTGAGCCAAATTCTGGCATAGGAGCCCCACTTGAAATTCCTCTCTGGTCTCATGGTGCCCTTTCCAGCACTGACCTATTGTCATCCCTCTTTTAGCCACTTCTTCATCTAGCTTACATTTCTTGTGCTATTTCCCATTTCAACTAATAATCTCACAAGTTCTACACTGTCAAGTGCTTATCAAGAGATAATAATCAATTGGATCTACTAGGTTTCCATCCATAAAAATTCTGCTGCCATTAAAGTACACTCATGATCTACCTTTAGTAAACTTGGACTGCATTTTATCCCATCTTACATTTATATCCATAGTGTTCATTATTTTCAAAATTTGTTTTAAAGCTTTGTGTGTACAAAAGAATAATTGCAAATATACTAAATGTTTATAAAAAGAAAAGTGAAGCTTGCTATATAGCACCACCACAATACAACAGATGGATTAAAATCTCTACCACAAGCCATAAAACTTCATGGTCTAGTTCTTTCATTAGTAAGTGATCCTTCCCCATTTAAGCAAGTTGAGCTCTCCTAGTTTAGCTTCCATGCCATGGTTCTTTTCACTTTGTATATATTCTCTTCTAACAGCAAACTTAGCTTTGGCTTTCTACATCTTTGTTCTGAAAGCTGCAAAAGTTACTTATTAGGCTGGGGAATGTAGCTAGATTATATATAACCTCAGTGCTTTGGGGCTCCCCATTCTTTTTGTACTAGTTGCAATGTGCTACCTACATTGCTAAAAAGTCTTTTGCTTTTTGTTTTATTCTTTTGCTAGATCTAGCACTGGGTTAGTTTTGGCAAATCTTCCTTGAGTCCTGTACCTCCATGTCTCCAAGTCATAGCTTTCTTCATTCCTTCATTTCTCTTCTCCATTCCATACAGACCTTTTCCTTGTTTTTACTCATCCTACTTCCATAATTGGAATGTAAATTCCAGATGGTTTTTGCATCTCTTAGTTAGATGAATTCCAGATCTCAGTCATGTTTAAGCCTCTGATTTTTTCAGTCCATTCAAATACCACAATTACTATGTCTAATCTACCAACATTTGTTCTTACGGTATTAAAAAAGCCATTTGAAACTTTAATTGTTGATACAGCTTTGTTTATTCTTCTATTTAATTTGGATTTTTCCAAAGTGGGGGTGGAGAGGGGACTGCTCTGTTTTTACTTTAAACACAACACAAATTACTACCTACCTAAAATTAGTCTAAAATAAAATCAGTATGCTCGCAAGAGATTTTCCTTTCTCCAATCTCCATTTGTGCTGCAAACTTCCATTAATTCAGCTGCTATCAAGATCACAAACATTCCTCCAGTTTTCTAGAAAGTTTAAATTTGTAAATAATATCACATAGGTATCCATGATTTGTATTGAAAAGTTTTATTACGAGACAATTTGTATAATGCTTGGGTTGTATGCAGTGTCACCTCTCTGACAGAATGCTGATTGCTGTCAATAGAGAACTGATATGACAGGCATTGAAACTAGTTGATAGTGTAAATTAAAATTTTAAAAAATCTACAATATAATGAACTGGAATCCTGTTATCCTTTCAGCATACTGAGGATTATTACACCTATAAGAACACCAACCTAACATACCTAAATTATGGATGGCATCACTAAGTCACAATAATGTATTGGGACTTATTGGGACTAATCAACTATATATTTATTAAAATAAAATCCCCTATCTTATTAACAGTGAAAGTCCTTTTATACGAATGCATGCAGTTATTCTGCTGAAGTGCTATTTATTACTTTTGACCTGAAGAGCAGCAATATGCTGCACAACCTTGAGGAGAATGCATAGGCAAGTACACTTGGTAAGCATATAATAGCATTAGGAAATTTAATTTTCATGTAGAGAAGAAAGGACATTAATTTTTATGGTTCTTCCTCAAAGGTATGACCATGCTTCTTCCATGCACTTCTTTTTCACCTTACCTGTCCCTCAGTGTTTTCCTACACCCATTAAATTGCATAAAAGCAGCTCTCACTCAGAAGGCTGGAAAAAAACAGCTGTACATGCATTAAGTATATTAGGAGGAAAAATAAGGGTGATGGTAATTCAAACCTAGTTCTTAGTGCAATAAAATAGCCTAAGCCAGAATACTTTGAATGTCCATGTATGTTCATCAGGGTATGAGTGAATAAATATATATATGTCTATACAATTTTATATTTCATACCTTATTTTATACACACATATGGGAGTGGAGCAGTTTGAAATTTAAAAATTTCCAATAAAATGATTTCAAAACTCTGCTACTCTGTACCACAAACACAAATATGCACAACTTCATCAAAATGTTTGCAACAATCTTCTTTCCCATGTGAGCAGGAGGCTGGACTAGAAGACCTTCTGAAGGCCCTTTCAAGCTGACCCATGCTATGACACTATACGCATTCTCCTTCCCTCTAGAATTCTCTCTCTCACAACCACTATTCCACATCCAGACATGCACAAAACCAGATTATAACCCTTTCTCAAATAGCTCGCAGCATAAATCTGTCTCTCATATATACATATTTTCTATTTGGCACCCAAATTCAGGATGATCATCACCACAAATGGCCAGTCATATATTGTTCCTTTTCTTTTTTCAGTCGCTCAGCATTGTACAACAATCATTTATCTCACTGTCCATGCCAAATACTCCTTCCTTCCTTAATAAATGTTATTTTCCTTTTTAATTCCCCTTAGATTCTTTATCACTTTCAGATCACCAAATTTGTTCAAAGCTGTTAGGCTTTCGTGAACCCTGAGCTCATTTTCTCAACTGCAGCCATTATCTGAAATACCTTCAACCCATCTGGCTATAAGTAAGTCCTTTTTGGTCAGAGGACTTCTTACCTATTTTCATGACATCACTTTTGGCAGCACATGAAATTCACCCTCAGAACATATCACTGGGATGGAACCAAGGAACTAAGACAAAGGAACAACAACCACCACATCAGTGCAGGCTAGAACTCAATAGCTTGCAAAAGAAGTGTTATGTGTGGTTCAAATGGGTGAGGGAATGTGATAAATATATGGAGTATGAAAGATTATCTTCTCCTTTTTCACTCATATCTATCAGTCTGTCTGTGATTATACTCTGTTTTCCAAATACTGCGCCCATCTCTGAAAAACAGCAAGGTGGGCAGTAGCCATAGTGGCCTTGATGGATAAAATCTAATTATCTAATCATTCTTGAGAGGTCAAGCAGTGGAAACCAAAGCCCATAGCCAACAAAATAAAGTGTTCCAGAACTTGTAATGAGTGATTCCATGAATGAATAAGCCAGAAGATTGATTTCTATAACCAGTGTTGTTTGCTTAAAAAGTGTTTTACGTTATTATTGAAATAATCTGGAATACTTTTCCTCAAATTCTTATAAATCAATGTGTCAATACATTGTCAATACATAAATCAATACATCAAGCATTCTGATGACCCCTCTCTAATAGCACAGTCTCAGTTACCTTTTTGAGGTAACTGGAGTGGTTCTAGCATTTATTTTCCCACTGTAGATTAAAACACTATAGAACTTTCCACTTCAATTTATTGTGCTGCACTCATTTGTTAACAAACTTAGGACACAAAGTGGTATAGCCAATCTAATGCATTTCTTATTCACTTAGGTGGAAAAGGAGTGCACACAAAAAGCCCCATTTCTCATTTACAGATCATATTAATAAAAAAAATATAGAAACAATCTTTCTTCTGTAAAATGTAATCCCACATATAGTGTGATCTGCTCCATTTTTTTCTCAGCACATTGCTCACAGGCAGCACATTCCCTGCAAGACTCTCTGATATTGCTCAAGGCCTTAGACAACTATTGCTGTAACTATGGTCCAGGTTGATACAGAACATAACAATTGTTTCCCCTAGAATATTAATTGCTTATGGAAAACAATACTTACATAATAAAGCATAGGTATACAGTCCATATTACATCCATCAATCTTGCATTGTTGATTTTCCCATTTCCCAAATAAGCATTTCCAACTTTCAACCACTGCCAGACTGGGGACTGGATTATTTTCCACTGTCCATTGTTAGAGGAATCACAAATTTGCAGAGGAAAAAAAATAAACCTTATCTACTGGTCCAAACCACACTATCAATTAGCCAGAAGCTGGAGAGTTTCTGAGAGATTCAGTATCAGATGAGGTAAACCAATATGTCTAGCCCAAAGCAAAAATTAGGCATGTCTGATCCTCAGCACAAGTCCAGAGACAGATCTGTATAGGATCTCTCTCAACATGTTTTGTTGCTGAATTTCTGAACAGAGTCCTTCCATTAGACTAAAAGGAGAACAATGGCATTTACTACTCTTCTAAACCTATTTTAAGATCTGCTTAGACATCTGATTATTTCTGAGGTATATGTTCTGACTGTATTTCTAAGACATGATGCCATGGTTCCCTTTCCATTGAAATCAATGTGGGCTTCTGCACCTCTGTTCAGATGAATTCCTCACATGCACCTCATGTTTGCTGTTTTCATAAGTTATCTTGCTTCTGACTATAGATTTGAATAGTTCATTTGGCTATTTGAGATCTTGTGAGGGGGCAGGTTAAAATACAAAATGAAGGAAACATTAATCTTTATCCTACTAAAGGTTACACATCTCTGGAAATCTATGAGGCTTGATTCCAGAACTTCATAGAACCAAGGTTGCTCATGATTTAAAATACTAGCCAGGAAAAATACTTAGAAGTTCCATTTAGTATTGTCTTTCCTCTTCAAACAAGTGAAAAGCTTGCTTTATTGAGGAAAAAGGATTGGGAACATTACCTAATTAAATCTCAGTACCCCAAGTTTGTTATTCCTCTTAATTAAAAGCCACCAGAGAAAGAATTGTGAGGAGCATGTAGAAACAGGAATAAAGCCTTTCTCTAGATCATTGAGAGATTATGTGAAAAATAACTACAAAATAGAAAAGGGTAAAAGAGTCAGAAAAATGTGAAACTCTACTGAATTTGGATAATATTATTTGTCAAAAACTTACTGAACAAGTGGAAAAGTATAATTTAAATATGGAGAACCTCTAAAATGCTTCAGTGACAGTTTATTATTCTGTACACTTTTCCTTGATAAACAGCCTTAGTCCATTAATTTGTCTACTCTTTTCATTATTATCCACATTAGATATGAGCTGTTCTCTGTATAATTTAGCCTAACAATTACATCAGGTTATTATTATGAACTAGAAATCATATGTTAAAAAAATACAGAAAATCCATATAGAAGTAAATAGAAATACAGTTAATATAGAAATATGTACCTGACCATATTTATGCAATTTATTAATGACCAAGGCATTATTATTAGTGTTCATCAGTATATCAAGAACAACTTCATTAATCTTTAAAGTAAAGCCAACCATGGAAGACAATCTTGTACCAGAAATGATAAAACACTGAAGCTATATTCCCCAGTAGCCATAACCATTGATTCCTGATATTTAGGACTTTTCAAAGTCCTAAAATCCAAATAACACTGAAATTGTATTCTACCACTTTTGTAACCAAAAGGGTGCCAGTGAGTTTTAGAATGAAGTTAGAATAAGCTAAGCATGTTGCTGTTTTAATGAAGAAAGCACGCCATATGCTTAAATCAAAAACTTCTGGCACCTACACACTGAAAGAGGAAGCTGCACTCCACCCCAAACTATGTTACGGCCTTTGGCAGAAGCACAGAGTAGCCTCATATGAACTGTGGAATCTCTAAACACTGTCAAAGCAGCCTTCTTTTAGGAAGAGCTGCATAAAGCAGGCTCTGCTAGATTCATCCAAGTTCATTTATAGAACACTGTATCTTGCGTTTGTGAGTTGGTATCCCAAATTTGTTAGCAAACATATCAGTAACAATATACTGGAAATGAAAAAACCTCAGATGTTGACATTATAGAAGTGCTTGAAGAGCCATAATCATTAATGGAGGCCCTGTACTAGAGTACTGCTACTGAAATATGAACCCTGAAGACTTTAAGACCTAGTCTAGAAAGCATCCTATTTTAAAGGGGGGGGG